AAATATCAAAATTCTTCTCATTCCACATTGCTCTATAAAGCTACATATGTATAAAATTTTTAAAAAAATCATAAAATCTTATGAAAATATTTTTTCTCTTTAAAATGGCAAACAAGAAAAAAATTTTTCTATATTAGATAGGAAATTTCAAGGACATTATATGTTATCCTGCAAAATTTCAATATTGTATTATGATTTTATGATTTATGGGAAATTAATACGAGTAGCTCGTCTTTTAATTCTAAAATAATACTGAAAACAAATATTTGTGAATGAATATGTGAAAATTTAAAAAATATATTAAAGCAACCAGCCAGCTTTTCTTAAGTATGTATAAATGTAGATAAGGTTGCACATATGTGCCATATAAGAAATATTCGAAAATTTATTATTTTTACATTAAGCAAAAAAATCAGATGCGACCAGTACACAACCGATCACATTCGCATAAAATATGCACACGAACAATCTTCTCTTGTTTAATATGAAATTTATCCCACAATTTCTAATTAAAAACTTTAAGAATTGATCCAGTTCTTGAAATTTAAAAAAAAACCATATCAATAAAGATATAGAAGAAAATTTAAATTCATGGCGAGAACAATACCTCCATTATTGTCAATGTTCAGTTCAGTAAAAAATTAATTTAAAAATAAATGTGAGATTTTGTTGATTCTGAATTGAGGAGCAACAGAATTTAATGCTCATTGATTTTCTCTTTCCAATTTTTTGCTCTTTTCAACATTAAAATTAATGAATATTTTATTGATTGCCTCTTTATGTGTGCATATATTATGTGTAAATTTAATTACCTTTTCGTGTGTGCGCATACTAATAAAATTACTTTAAAAAATTCTTTCACATCGACACTTCTTGTACAATATTGTGGAACTGAATTCTTTTTTTCTCTTTTATAATTAAATTTTTCATTTTGGAATGTTGAATTACTTCAGTAGTGTATTAATAATGAAGTTCAAAATAAATATTTGAAAAAATATTTCTGCATTTAAATTTTTTATCGCTTATTTTTTGTTTATTTAAATGAACTTAATGAGCGTATATTTTAAATGCAGGAGTTCAATTAAAATTTTATTGTTATTAAGATGTCCTTAAATCAATCTTCTAAATTAACATAGGAAATATAATCATAAGGTATTAATATTGAATAGGAAGTTTTGCCAAAAGAAATCTTTTCTTTACTTTTATTGTTCTGTAAGCTTAACCGCCAACATTGTTATACAGCATTAATAACATTATCTGCAATTTAGATCAGTTATAAGATTTTCATATCATTTATATACTTCCAATACATTGTATAGGCCGTCATGAGTAGACAAAACTTTTGTATGAAGACCCTGTTCATAGCTCAACAAGTTCGAAGCTACACGGGGCTTAAATTAAATTTTGACTGATTTTTTTACTTTTTGAAATTTTAAGTATAACTATGTAAGACAAGTGCATTAACAAACATGATTTGGAAACCTCAGAGTAAGGTCTTTCTTATGAATATCTACATTAGTTATAATCTGTTCAGATTTCGGAATCACATGACTTTAAAATTCGAAAAAGTTGAAATTTTAACTTCATTTTTAAAAAATGTTAATTTTTTAGCTGAATTTACTTTGAAAAATGTACAAAATTCCCGCAAAGTTTTGTTTCTCTCCTGTTATGTGAATGTTCAACCCAAAAACCGAGTTTCCCTCACATTTTCAAAAATTAATTGTCTTAAGAATAGCATATTGGGTCTCTTATTGATACAAACCTGTCAGTCGGTTTTGACTGACAACAAACAACAAATTTTAAAAATTTATTTTCACCGTAAATCTAAAATATGTATATGTTGTTCAAAATGTCGCATTATTTTCGATCACAAGGCAATCATTGTCATATTTGAATTTTATTATTAAATCGATTGTTGCTTACATATGTATGTACATACCAGTCCATCGTCCACCGCTTCATTATTATTTAATATTATTTAATAAAAATTTTTATCGATTTTAAAATCTTTGTCACCTAGTTTTAAAGAGAACAAGGAGCCTTAACACCTTAAGTATCTTAGAACGTAACATTAATAAACCATTGTACGCTTTCGATTATTATTGAGTTGCTCTTCAAACTTTATAATATTGTAGACGTGACAATTAAATAAAATTTTTGAAAACAAGCGAATTTTTTAAATTTAATAAAAATGTCCTGATACATACATATGTACATTTATATGTATGTCTAGATTATATGAAAATATTCTTACTTATAACCAAATTTATGTTGTATGAGGTATGTATGATGCGACATATATGTGTTGCTAATACAGAGCTGATATCATTGACATATATATATATTACACAGATGTATATGTATATTATGTGCATACTTACTATAATTTTAAAATTTCTTCAGTATATTCCAGATGACACCACAAATATTAAATTTATTCCAATTTATACATCAAATAAAGGAGTAAATATCAATAGTTTACATGCCATGCTGTACAACGTATACAGTATGCAGATTTTGAAAACCTTAATAAATTTCAATATTCAAAAATTAATGAAATTAAAATATATTAAGTTTTGTGCTATTTATGACAAAAATATCATTGAGAAAATAAAATTTTCCATAACAGAAACAACTCCACGCAATGTTTTGAAATCTGATTCAACAGTTTTCGGTATAGTACAGGTATTGCACAGGAACTATGTATATACATAAGCCTTTCTTTATAACTTTGTTATCTAAATTAATTTTTAGCTAAATTTTATAGAAAGTATTTGAGCACATTCTACAGTTCGGTATGGATCAATTGAAATCTAAAAAATTTCTGTTACCATTCTTTGTGATGTTACAAATAGAAATGTTTATCGCCGACATTTAAGCTTTAAATTGAAAAGGAAAATAACTTATTGATTTGTCAACCTATTTCATTATTTTCCAAAATTGCCTCTTAACAATGGTTTTTTTTGTCTATTTCGGAAGCCATTCAAACCTTAATATTCAGATTGTAAAAGAATTTTGCTAGAACGTGAAACATAAAATTTTCCACACTAAGATTTTGCTATTCCCATACTATATAAAATATATGTATATGAGAATAATATTATATAGGTATGGAGATCTACCTATGTATATTATTTAAAAGAGAAACTTTACCCTTTTATTTGACCATCAACTGAGTTTAATTTAGTTTCATTGATTTAATAGAAATGATTCCTCAAACATTACATTTACTTTTTATCCTTACTTAACTAGAACATTGTATAGAATTGTAGATTTCAGTATCTAGTTTCTATGAATATTTGTATTGTTAGGAAATGTGTTTGCCTTATCTAAAATAACTAAAACTTGAAAATGTGATAAATCTACGAAGGACATGTTAGGTTAAACAAAATAAAAACATTACTATAAAGTTTTCTCAGATTTTGTTTTTATAACTAAAAGTTTTATTTTTAAATATAAGTTCTAAATAGTCAAAAGTAATCAGAAGAAATTTAAAAATTTGTAGGTTCCGTTGTTACAATTTATTGCCTAAAAGTTTTTTTGTATCACAGTTGCAGTTTGTTTCATTTTTATTTTAGTGAGTACACTTAGATAGGTCTATCTTTATATGTATCGCGTTTTTTTGCCATTAAACGGATACTAGATAATAAAGTTCCTGAAATAAAGTCTTCTTTTATCGTTTGATTTATAAAAATTTAAAAAACAGTTGTATTTTACTATAAAAACTATAATTTTAATGAAATAAAAGAAAGTAAATATTTTCTTTAATTTCATTTTAATTATGGGTAGATGTTTGTGTCTTCTTATTGTTCAAAAGCTCATTATTTTATTACATTACAACTTTAATTGTTTTCATTCAACTGTTAGTAGTTTGAAAACATAGTATTTTTGAAATTAACTAAAAACTAAAATATGTGCGAATACTATATTGGATCCTTCTCGGTTATAGTAAGACTTACCCTATACTTACATTCGATGAGATAAACTTCAAGAGCTGCCATGTTGTTTATAACTTCTGGTCATCTAAGAGTATTGTAATAATCTAAAATTGGAGTTTTGAGGGAAAAAAGCAGAATTAATTGGTTTAAGTTGGTTATATTAATTTTAAAAAAAATTGTATCCTAGAGTAGATTACATTGAATTTGGAATGAGAATGAACGCGATCCCCAAAAGAGAATTTCTTTTCATCCTTCCACCTTAATTCCAACTCCCCTGCATTAATTTGCGTAATTTCGGTGATGCTATAGGATAATTGTAGTAAACCGAAATAGAATTACACTCTTACAGCTGGCGTATAGGCCATTTTAGTATGCACCGCACCAATTATAAAAATGAAAGAAATAACTAGAACAGATTGGAGAAATAAGAAACAAAAATTCAAAATCTAGATTAAAAGTTCACTTTTAATTTTGAAAACAATCTGCAGACCGATTATATTCTTTAATTAAGAGTTCATTTCTTTGGTTTTATTAAATCATGATATTAAAATGCAATATTCATTGTTATTCAAATCATTTGTTACGGTTTCTTTTCATAAAAAAAGAAATTTCGTTGTATAGAATTTTCATCATCCAAGAAACTGAAACTTTTTGTTACCCATCAAATATATTACTAAAAGAAAGTACCTACATACACATACATACTAACGTTTGGGTACATATATACTATTAAGTAAAACATTCAGGATCTATGTTTCCACTATAATAATTTTCTGATCTGGATACAAAAGCAGATAATATATTATAAAATAAAGACGAACCTAATATTGTTCTATGTCTCTCTGAAATATTTCGAATAATTCAATTTTCCCTTATAATATAATATGCATGAAGCACTATTTTATAAACGTATACAAACATACTTACAATGAATAATGAATTTTTATAACTATCCCCATATGCACCTACATATACATATGTATATTATAGGTTCTATAAGAACTTTATTACATTTATATGGTTGTATATAAACGATATTATTTTTTTTTTTTTACTTTTTAGGATTATGTGCCACGATTACAAGGAATTGGACTTTGTGTTGTAAACCTAATGGATGACATGCACGAATATATGAGAGGACTTTTTGTTATAATGTAAGTTAATATTTAAATATCCCCGATTTTCTCTCGTAATTTTATCGTCAACATCGTAATGCAAATTTATTTTATAATATGGAAGAAAAATTTTATTTCGCTTTTTACTAAAATAGAATTCATGTGTTCCTTTTTTTTTAATTTTAGTTCATAAATTTTATCATTTGTCATTTATATTTTTGAAATAATTGTCGTTGAATCAATGGAATTTTAATGAATAAAGTTGAGTTCAACCAATTATAAAGTAGCATTTTTAGTTCAATAAATGAAAGTGCTGCTTTTTAAAACAATCTATTACATTAATAAAGTTTTTTTCATCCATATATCAAAATGTTTCAAAGATTGCATACATTCAGGATGAGGCGAAAAAAAAAACCTTGAAGGAACTGTTAATATAATGGTGAAAATGAATGGTTATTTGCGACATCTAAAAAAATAGATAAGGAAATTTTGATAGCATTGAATATATCTCTCTGCATTTGTAGAATTTTAAAAAAAACTTGCTGTATCGTAAATACAAGGTGCCGAAAATTTTAATTTTACAAGTTTCTAGAGGCGATAACTTGAGAGAAAGTGGAGGTGGAATGTTCTTCTAACGAAATAAATTATTTATTAATATCTAAAAGCTGGTAAAATTTAAGGTTCCTACAGCTTACGATCTAGAAGAAAAACGATATCGAAAACTTGCAAAAAACGGGTTTTAGATAACCGTTAATTTTATTTTTAATATTGAATTACGTTGTGGCACGGTAGAAAGAGCCAAACTACTTTTTCGTTAACTGTGTTTGTTTCTGCAATAAAGAGTTAAAAATGGCATTTTCTGGATTCTTAGGGGCTATCACTTATAAAGGGGTTAGACTGATTTAGATTTATAAAAATTTTCTTCTACGGAAATAAGTTTTACAAACGAGTTCACATACGGACGGACAGAATAAAACTAATCAACACTTTTTTCAAAAGCTTTCTGGAAAACTATATTCAATGTGGGTAAAAGTTTTTTATAATTACAAAGATGCTTAAATATTTAAGCAGAATCTGAAATGACCGTTTCTTCATTTTCAAAACTAGTTTATCAATAAATTATGTCTTAAGTTTCAAGTGATTTTTAAAATTGAACAGAACTGATTCCATCTATGAATCTTATAATTATAATGAGTGAGAGGATGAGTACGATAAAAAGTTTCATAATTTCAAAGGCATGAAGCTTTTATAAATAGACTTTTCATTCTGTTATGAGCATCCAATTTTTAACGCGGTTTTATTTTTAAATTTCAGAGGCTACCTGTTTTGAGTCAGGTATGTCATATGGGCAATTGTAAGGAAAAACGCCAAGTTAGATTTAACTATTATATAGGTAAATTATATTAAAAAATTGTGGTTTAGGATTCAATTGTTTCATATGTTGCAATTAAACTTGATTGGAACTACATAATATGTACTCCAATAAGATTTATTATAATAATTTTTTATTATTAAACACTATCGAAGCGTACGAGCAGAATCATGTAGGATGACGTAATATTGGTAATTCAATTATGGGAAAAGAAATATTTTTATTGCCATAAATTAGAGATAATCATGCAGTTAATCAATCAATCAATCAGTTATCATCATATTATTTATGTTAAATTATGATTGATTGACATTTTTTAGTTTTTTTTTCAGTATTTTCATTTGTTCCAACATTTTCCTGTCATTGTATTGCTTTTATTGTACAACAAATTGCAGTTACTTGTTATTTTCGACGAATATCATAAATATAAGGAAAAAGTGAATTTAGTTAATTGATGAAATGAAATTGAGTTCTTCTACACAATGATTGATGAAAAACGATTATTTGCAATTGGTGTGTACATGATATGAAAAAATCATTGTCAATTCTTAAATTGAAAAAGGAAAAAAAATAAAAAATATAAAGTTGAATTTTAATAAATTTTTTTTGTATGAATAATCAAAATTGAATGACGTTTTCATTCCATTTTCCAAATTTCGTTTATAAACTGGAAGTACAACGTACTTTCATAATTTATGGATTCGGAATCTTTAAAAAGAATAACTCACTTTAATCTAAAATAATAAGTTGAAATTTGGTTCATGAACTCAGTTGAAAAGTTTTATTTAGTGGAAAAATTAATTATTTGACGAAACGTGCTTCTGTTATAAGCTTAGATATATACACGTAATATAAATAACTCTGTAGGATTGAAGTAGATTACTTTTCATAGTTTCCGAATTAATTTATTTACAATTTCAATATTCATAGTAAACCACTAACTTTTATAATATGTGTTAGAATTTTCCTAGCCATATTTAAGTCGAACATATTCAAAGCAATTTGTAACCAAATATATTAGACCTTTATTACAGAAATTTTAAAAGTAAAAGCTACCGCTCCCATAAAAATAATCGAGGTTCTCAATTCAATATTTACAACTTTTTAAACTTCTTACTTTAATTTTGAAACTATGTTAGAAATTTTCGCCCTCTTATGCTTTTTTTCTTTTTAATTGAGTTTGGAAGGAGACCTAATTAGATTTTTCATTTTCTTCAAAACAAAAATTTTTTTTTTTAATTAACTTTACTTTGAAAAATTTGCTATAAAATTCTAGCAAATTAAAGAACTTAAGAGTTTTAAAATAAAAAATAAAATGAAAATTAAAATTTAAACTTTTTTTTTGTTTTTTCTTTTTAGGTATTGTGGTCCATCGATCCTATTGTCTTATCTATATATAAGAACATCACAAGAATTAAGACCACCAGATGGTCCATTTGCTGTTATGATGTTTGAACATCGGGCTGAATTAAGAAGTCGACAAAGGTGAATAATTTTGATTTTTTTTCTATTTTTTTTAAGATTTTTTAGAATTTTTTTTTATTATCATTTTTAAGGTTTTCTGTTGGAATTTTATGGTTGTATAATCAAATGAATGAACTTGGTACAAAATAAACAAAGTTTTCTGAAAACTTACTGAAAAAATTTTCTGGAAATAAATTTTTTTAAGAATTTCGGAAAGTTCTCATTTTTATTAAGAATAATAAGAAGAAAGAATTGCAGACTGAAAAGTTTATCTAGTTTTATGGAAGTATAAAAAAAGCACAAAATGAGGTTTTTATTAGGCTTAGTGAGAACTCATTATATTTGCCATAATTTCAAAATCATTAAATTATTTAATTTATTTTATAAAACTTCTATAAGATTCATTTATTAATTATATTAGAGTTACTTTAAGTATAGTTTAGGTATTAAACTTTTCGCCATTTAGAAAATTTATCTTAATTAAAAAATGGAACTTAGGAAAACTATGCAGGTATTCTAGCTACTTAATTTAAGATATCTATAGAATAATTAGATTAGTTAGAATTACAATTCCTCCTGTCAAAAACCATTGTTTCAGCATTTGATAATTTTAAAAATTTTTAAAGAAGCTAATTTTGGCTACATTACATCTTCAAATATATTTTAGAAAAAAATAAAACCAGCTAGAAATAATGCCAACTGTAAAACAAATGATTTATAATTGTAAATGCCGGGACCGTATTTAAATTGAATATGATCGAGCCGGTGGTTCGGGTAGTAACCACACAATTTCAAAAGTTATTTTATACTATATCTCAGAAATTATTGAAGTCATAACATCGAAATATCGTACAGACAAATATATTATTAGTGCTGTTGTGTTTAATAAAAATCGATAAAATAGTTTGAATCCTTGTGATAGCTGCCATTCAACTTCAATAGCTGTTTGGTCATACTTTAAAAACTATTCACATTACTGAAATTTTGCATATAAACTCTGTTTATAGCAGTTTGCAAAACAAAACCAGGATATAATTAAAGTTATAGCTTGTGCTATAGTCACAGATATCACAGTGCTAGCATGATCAACTCTAGTAATTTTTCACAAAATAAAATGTTCATTCAGACTTCAAAGCGTTATGTATGCAATAATATACATATATAGATATATAATTGAGAGTAATCTATAGCTATACCTAATACGGAGTCCGCATATTTTGATTTCAATTTTATATTTGCATATTTCATTTTTTGTTAGAGAATTAAATAGAAAACAATTTCAAATTTTAAATATAAAAATCCCATTAAAAATTTATAAAACTGAAAAACACCTAAACAATTTGATTAATGCCTTATTGATAAAACTGTTGATACCTTCATTATTTTATAAATTTTCAGAGCTTTTATTTGAATAAAATTATGCAATTTAAAATCGTACGTGGTTTAAGGATAAAAACAAGGATTGAATACTTTAGAAAATTTCATTTTAATTTTTATAGACAAAGTATGACAAAATCGGATATTAATTTTAATTAAAAAAAAAAGAAAACCAAAAAAAAATTCCTTTTTAATAAGAAAAATTTAATACCGTATTTTAACAGATATTTGGACTGCGCTTGCCGCAACGGTGATTAAAAATAACAGTTTTTTTTAATTATTTTTATTTATGCATGGCAGAAACATTAAAGGAAATAGTTTTTGTCAATGCATTCAAAGTTTCCGAACATTTTCTTCACGTAATGTCATCTTGGTACAATTGAGACATCTAAAATTAAAGTGTGCAATTTAATTGCATTCGTAGATTGGGGAAAACAATTGAAAGTATTTTAAGTAGTTAATTAAATGAATTTTTATAAAAAGTTTTAATTGGATCAATTTATTTCAAATGAAAACTCCTTCTATCATTTCAATTCGTATTAATTAAAAATTTTGAATTAGAATTGTAGAATAGTTTAAGTAATTTAGCACATTTAAGTTATTGCTTTAATTAACATACAAGCGCATTAGTGTAAAAGCTTACTTTAAACGAATTTTTATATTAATTTTTATATAAAGACGACATTCCTGGTCATATGTCCTGGCCTCAAAACTAAATAATACGAAAATATATTACTCTAGTACTATTTGTTGACGCAAATTGTATAACTACTTTATTATTTTCGAATTTATTGCTTAAATTTTTTTGGCACACAAAAGGGTCTATGACATTGTAAAATTCGCTTGTTTCTCTGGTACATGCAAATTTATATAGTTATAGTGATTGCATAACTTTGTAGATTTCGAGGCAAACCTTTTCAATTGAATAAGATTTTTTAAAATCTAAAAAATTTTAATTGAATTCTTGTTTACATATTTTTGTTTCTATGAAATTTAAAAATTTTCCTTTTAGTATGAAAACATCAAAATTCAAGTAACTGGCATGCAAGTCTTAAGTGAATAATTTCTTAAGTTATTTTAAATTTTAAAGCCATAACTATTTATTCAATATTTTGTTATCTTCGAAATAATTTGGTGATTTTTATTTAACATTTTTTAAAGCTCAAAATTCTCTGTCTTCCTTTTTATTAATATTAATTTTAATTCGAAGTAATTATATATTTTATTTATTATATAAATTATCATTTCAGAAACTCATCGATGACATCTGGTGGACGTCCTAGAGCTGATTCAAATCGTTCATACGATTTATATAGTGCTGAATTAGATGTTTCATGTGAAAAACGTACTCAACGTATATTGGGATCAATGGCAGCAACACAAGTTTTATGCGTTTGTCCACTTATGATTTTAAAATTAGCACGTATGGTTGTTGTTGAAACTTATGAGAATAGTAAACATTTTGATTTTACGTATTTAATGTTTGTATGGATAGCATTCTTACCAACTGTAATATTTCCTTGCATTTATGCATCAGAAATTTTACCAGGGTAAGTTCAAATTTTAATGTTTTTCAACGTATATGAAAATTTTACTGAAGGATTTAATAGAAAATTATAATTGAAATTAATTTTTTTAAATTGATGAACCCGGTTTTTTTGTTTATTAAATTCCATATTTTTTAAATTCAATCTAGGACTACTGAAATGTGTTTTTCACAAGTAAAGGAAAGTACAAAATTAATTTTAAAGCCTATAATATGTAGAAATTTGATTTTTTGAAGAAGAATTTCCATTATGTCACTTATTCTGCATAAGAATTTATGAATTTTCCCTTCCAGCTTTAACTAAGTAGGATATATTCGTTAAAAAGCACTCAAAACAAACCATTTCTGCATCCGCTTGAATGAAAGTAATTAATACTATTTCCTCACATAAATTCCAGATTATGAAGAGTTTGATTTTTCAAAAAGTTTAATTACTTGTTAGCGCTATTTTCTTCTGTTTTATAATTGATTTAAGTTTCAGACGAAAACAAACATTTAAACGTGTTGACCAAACATTTAAAAAATTTACAAAAATTTTCTTAAATGCAATTCTAAATTCATTTTTGACGTAAGACGAATATAAATAGAACATTTAAGGAGTCGTGTAGAAAAAATTTAATTATGCTAGTATAACTTAAAAATATCTACTTAAAATTACAAAAGCAAAATTTAAAGCTTTGACTTTTGCTGTTATTCGTTCTTTCATTCCAATAAACTCAAAAATAAGCAAGGAATGATAATGTTTCCCATATTTGCTATTTGAAACTAACCACTAACTTTATATTTATAAATAATTTTATATCTATAATTTTATATTAAAGCATTTGGAAGAGTTATTAATATTATTATTGCTTTAAAATTTTCTTTGAACGTTTTTGGGTTTCGTACTTTTATATTTTTAAAGATAAATTTGTAAAGATTTTATAAATTTTCGATGATAAAGATGACTGACTGACGACCCTCAACAAAAAATTAATGCAATAAAAATAAAAGGGAAATTATAACCCTTTTTGATACAATTTTCACGTAGGTTTTAAGATAGGTATAAAAATTGAGTTTATAATTAAAAAGGTGAAAAAAGGACTATCTATAATATTTGAACTCTCTCTAGGTTTATATAACATATTCGAACATTAAAATTTCCCTTTTTGAATTATAAAGGTTCAATAAAAAAGTGGATGCATGCCAAAAGGTTCTATACAAATAGATTTTTCTCAGAAGAATTTTTAGGTACAGTGAACTTAATTTTAATTTTATTAAATGATAAAATACCGTTAAAAATCATTTCTTTAATTTTAGAACATGATATTTTTAGTATTTTTATCTTACAATGTAATATAAACTGGAACCTCAGCATAAGAATTATTGGTGAAGGTCAAATAATTAAAACGATAAATAAAAAATTTAATAATTAAGTTCATTCCTCAAGATTTGAATTTTTAAGATCACTTTCTCAATCAATTATCAATTCTCATTTTGTAGGCATGATTCTTTAAACTGCTTCTTTTTTTTTTTAATTCAACTTCCTAATTATATCTACAGAAATGCCAATTTCATATGGAAATAAAATTCGAAAATTTGAGAAAAACCATTTTATTAATTTATTCACTTTTGCAGCACTGAAAAAGAACGTTTACGCGGATATTTTCGATTATCCTCAAAACGTCGTTTAAATAAATCACAAAATTTTCAAGAAGATTCTTCTATAGAACAAGAAACAACAACAACAGCTATTGAAATCCCAACAATTAATAACAATAATAACAACAACAATAAGAATCATGCAAAAAAGGAAACTTGTAAAACAAGCGCTTTAACAGAAAATCATACATTAAATACAATAGGACGTCAAAAGCAACAATCAGATAAGATTAAATCAACTAGTCATAGTCAACAGGCTGATACATCTTTACAATCAGTACCATCTGTACGAGATAAAAGAAACGCAAGACCAGCTCCCGCTAAAGATTTGCATAAATCACAACAATCAATTAGATCAAAAACTAATTCCCAAAGTAATTCTACTTCCAATTCAACTAAAGCAACTGGCAGTGCACGTAATGAAAATGAAAATTTACCTTCACCATCAGGCGAAAGATTATTTCCACCAAGAAAATCTTTGGCTACTGATTCTTTAAATAATTCATGTTCGAATATAACTTCAAGTACGTATTGTAATGTCAGTAATAGTATAGCCGGATCGGCAGCAATTCAAGATCGTAATGACAGTATAAGAACTAGTGAAGGTTCTGGAAGTGGTATATTAAGGACAAAACGTGGTAGTACCGATTACGATACAGATTCTTTGATTAGTGGAAGTGATACAAAAACTTCTTTGTATGGTGGTGTATATGATAGAAAATGGAATGGTGTAAACCCAATTGTAGCATCACTATTAGCTAAAAATCGCGATATGTCATTTGATTGTAGCAGCCATATTTCTTATCGTAGTCAAGGTTCATCATCAACGCTAGATCGAGATTTGGAAATAATCGATTTACTTGAAAGAGAGAGAAGCATGGACATACAAGATATGATGGAAAGAGAAAGGCGTGGAGAATTAGTTAGGAATTATAGGTGAGTTTTTACATAATTTTACAATATTTTTAAGTTTATTTAAGAAATAATTTTAAAACGTAAACGAAATATTTATTGTTTTCATTTTAAATAATAGCATTACATCAGAGCGTCGTCGTTTACCAGATCTAGAAAAAATTAAATGTAAATCACCGAAGATAATTGAATCGACACTCCAAAATCAATATTCAATTTATGGTAGTAATTCAGTAGATAGTGGTTGTATGCCAACACCGCCAATAAGTGCCGGTACAGCAAACAATCAATTCGAATATCCAAATGCAACGGCAGGATATTTTACAAATCATTATCATCAATTATTACCAAGTTCTAGACGTCCAGGAAGTCGTAGATCCAGTAATTCTTCGAGTCGTTTTCAATTGCCTACACCAGGTGGTGGTAGCATTAAACGAGATAGTTTAACATCGATTCAAGGAAGTGGTATGGGTTTAATAAGTACAAGTCCTATAATTCCGATTCTATCCAAAGATGAAGATATTGTTTCAATGAACTCATCAAATTTTGTATCAGACGATATTTCTGAAACGGATATTGATGTAAATTGTGATGGCGGAATTATTGGTAATAGTAGTGGTAAGGTATCTGTGATAGAAAGAACCAATAGTAATGGTAATAAATTAAATAAACCAAGAGCACATATTCAACGAAGTATTACACCATCCTCGTCCATTAGAAGTTCATCAATAAAATCAAATCGTCTTATAAGAAATAGTATTCAAAATTCAAGTACACCAATTGGGACATCATCAACAACAACGTCAACAACAACATCTGTGAAGGTACCATCAACAATATCTGGTCAAAGTCATTACGATAGTAGTGATATTGTTGATAAATTTGATAGAAAACCTTTTCGTTCGGCTATTAGTGAAACTAATTCAAAATTAGTAAATCCAATAAGGCCACCATTGAATTTTGAACAAAATATTTATGCTCAATTGTAACCTATTAGAAAAATGTTAAGTAGTAATATTTTTTTAAAATTGTGTATTTTGGTAAATGTAGGTTAAAATTTTAAGGGATGGTATTTTTTTACGTATAACTACATATATAGTGTTTATTAAATAAAAGTTCTGAATAACTTAGAAGCGAATTAAAGATTAAAAAATTCAATTTACTATTAATCATAATTATGTTAAAGAAATTTTTATTATAAAAACAAAAATTCGACCCAACAAAAAAAAGAAATAATATATTCCTGTTGCTTAAGAAATTTATGATTAGAAAAATTTAAATAATGTGCTTATGTACTGTTAATTATAGCGTGTTTGTATAATATAAAAATATTTTTAAAAAGATGTTAGAAAATTAATGATTGCTTAATTAATATTGTAGAATAATAATTAAATCAGCTACTTAATTAGCAGTTGAAAATTAAAAATCAAACAGAAAACAACAATTTAAAGTTCAAAATTTCGTTTGCAATTCTTAATCAAATGAAATTAAAAATTGAAATATGTATATATATGTCTATATAAAGTAATGAATGTAATGTACGTAATTACTCTTTTAAAATGTGTACAAGTCTAGACAAAGCATAAATTGTCATACAATTGGGATTTTCGATAATTCAGTTCTAACTTAGGTCTTAATACAAAGTACGTTGATAAATCCAAACTTTAAAATCTGCAAAAATAGCATGCTCAACAAAAAAACAGTTGTACTTATAGTGCGTAAAGAGATTTTAAAAGTTTTTTCTAAAAGCGCTAAGGTTTTTTATTAAAGAATTACTCGAGTGTTGGCAAAAATAATATATGCAGTTTCTGCAAATTTGTAAGAATGTTTGAAAATACTTTTAAGATTTAATTTAAAACTTTCAGTACATATCTAAATTATCGAAAATCCCCAATATTCAGCATAAAAATTAAGTGCCCACCTACGTCTCACAGTTCCTTATGAATTATCTCAATATTAATTACACATATTGTTCCATTATTTAAACAGTATTCACTTAGTTGTAATACGTTTTATTTGAAACTTTATTTAAAATGGTGAAAATTAAAATTTATTAGAATTCCTATTTATTAGAACAGAATTTGGAGTTCGAATCAAATAATAAATACTATGAATTTGTTAGCTTGCGAAGTAATTATATCAGTATCAAGTTAAATTTAGGTCTCGCCACTAATATTGATTTACTATTTATTTCATTAGTCAAATAATTAAAAATAGTTTTGCAAACTCAATTCCAAAACAGTCTCAATTCGATTACAATTTGAACAACCAGATGGTATTTAAATTACAAAAAAAAAATTTTACTTGAAAATCTATTTCGTTAGTCTGTTTCAAGATTAAGACTGCAAGATTACACAATTTTTAAAAGAAGTTGCAAGACTCAAGTTTTTGCAGCATTACATTTTTGCAATCACAATTATTGAAGTTCGGAATTTAAGAATTGAATCATAATTTTTATCAGAAACAACTTAGCCTTAAAAATTCAGTTTAAATGAAAAGTTTAACTAAATTAATACTTTTATTATTTATTCGAAAACAAAATCAAAATAAAAACAAATTTTTTTGCAACGCTAAAAAACGTAGGAAATGAGTTTCAAGAGGCACGATCTTATAATTGAATTTTGCATTGAATTAAAAAAAAAAAATAATTTTTATTTTTCAATTTTCGTTTGATTATGACAGAAACATGGAAACCTGCTCCTATTTCAATGGAATCAAAATATTCAATATTAGATTTATTTACTTTTAATTTAAATAAATAAAACAATAATAAAATATTAAACTAAAAAAAAAATCTGAATAAAAACAAAGCAAAATTGATTCTTAAAAAAAATTTTTAGTGAAAATGTTGACATTGATTAACTCCGTCGGTACAAAACGTCATTCATATAATAGCTACATATATTATTTATTGTTCAATGTTTCAATAATCACAAAAATTTATGGATATGAATTCATATTTATGAATATTAAAAATGTGGAATACATAAATTGAAATTGTCCCGAAAATGAATGAATAAAAATTAATTCACGATTTCAATCTTTAAATAGGGGTTGCTATCCAATCATATAGCTGTGGATTAATTACAAAAACAGTTTTCAAAAATTTTTAATTCAGAGACAGGTATTAAACTTTATAAATGTTAAATATTTTTTATTACTTCAAAAAAAATGTACGTTGACTATTGAAATAAAATAAATTGTTTGTAACACGGAGCATTCACTTCATACACACGATATATGCTCTCATTGTAAGGATTTAAAATAGGAATTTTAATTAAATTATGACATAATGAACGTTGTCGTTTTTCAATTATTTGAAAAATATGTAGATGTACCATTAAATCTTTGCATTTCACAGAAATTTGGAATAGTTTAAAGTATAAATTTGCCAAAGATTGAGATATTATGAGTTTTCAGAAGCGATATGAAAGGTAGTTAGAAGGAAAGGAATACAAGGAATGTCTACGAAATTGAAAAGAAGTTGAATTCAAATAGATTTAAATTAAGGTTTGCTTTGTTCCATAGCAGAAGAAGAAAATTAAAAAGAAATAAAACTGAAATTTTCTAAAACAGACGCATACCCAAATGAACGACCATTTTTTTTTTTCAAATATAATTATAATTTAATTTATATCTTTTTTCAATTTTTGTATATAAAATATATTGGGTTTATTCTAGGAACCGTATAATTTACCCGTGTATCAGTGTAATTTAGTAAATAAAACAAAACAAAATATTATTTATAGAACGTCAAATTTTGTGCTCTCACTAAAAAACTACAAATTCTTATTAATTCTTAATTCTTTTAACAAATTTTTTATTTTATTTTTGAAACATTCTAAAAATTATAACAATGAATACCAAATGAATTCTAAAAATTATAACAATATGAGCTGTCAAATTTTATTAAACATGATATTTTAACTCTTTTATATTTAATTTTGGGTTTTGCTTTTAATTTCAAATAATTTATCTTAATTTATTATCGGAATTGGATTAAATGTAAAATTAAGCATATTCATTATTTATATACAATTACAATAATTTATAAATATAAATAATTCATAATTATTTTATAATTTAAATAAATTTAATTTAAAATATCTTTTGTTTTAAATATTAAATGTGTGTATGGTAATCACCGCTTCAAAACTCGAAATATACTTATTGCACAATGGGATTAAATCAGTATTAAAATTTTAAATACCGCATATTAAAATTGTAACATAAATTTATATTTGGGATATAAGCACATACATAATAACATTTATTTTAAGTTTTAATAATTTAGTAGATTACCACTGTAGGGTTCATTTGTCTTCATAATTTTTTTTTCAGTATAATTTCGAATTTATGAGGCTTTTGTTGTAAAATAAAAATTTATTTTAAAGCAAGTATCAAAATAATCACAGGACAATTTGAAGTTATAATAATTCTAGTTTTAGTTCATCATATTTTTTATTATAATACCCACAAGCTGCATAAATATTTAAAATGTTTGTATTCTGTTCACACTATTAAAAAATATATAATATATTATATACATATATATTTCTAATTATTTCATATTTTTAATTACTTGTAACAATTACTGATAATTAATTTCATTTATCATTATTTTGCTTAAGGATATAAATTTTTGTTTGAAAGGTGAGAGGTGGGAGGTAAAATAATAATTTAAGAATTATAATAATTATTTTAATTATTAATGATTCATTATTGGTTTTAGGTGATATTTAATATTTGTATAGGTATGCCAAATGCCTATATTCTATTGTTATTTTAATACTAATATCAACATAACGCGAGATTTTTTTTTTTACTTATAGAAATCAATACTATAAATTATTTTTATACCACTATTTAAATATGAGTGTAATTATTAATTATGGTTACGAAAAACCGCTTAAAAAAAATAAAAGTTAAATGTCAGTTATAGGCAACTTTTTGTATTCAAATTAATTAGATATAATGAGAAAATTATAATTTTATGAAAAATATTAATTAAATTGCTATAGTTATCACATACTATGCCTATAAGTAATTCTTTTCATCTTATATAAATAAAAACAAATTGGAAGATCTTATGGTGTAAACCATTTTAACCATAAAATTTGTTTGTAATTAAAAATACTTTCCTATATTTGATGTAGTTTCTATGGAAAACGAGGTCTCATTTGGCATTCCATCTTTATTCGGTACGTCATGAAAAATTTAATGGTCGTGTCAAACGAGTTTCAAGTGATGTGAATGCTTTCCTAATTATGTATAGTGGTTTTTTTAGAAAAGCAAGTCAATATACATATATTAATAACAAGCAGAAATTCAAAGAAAATTAGAAATTTAATTCAGAAAGTAAGAAACCACTTGATAAAGACAAATGTGAAATTTTACCATTAAATTGATAAATAAAACTCTACAGTGATTCAAGCAATGGTTGTGAAAGCAAATACGAAAAAGTTATGAAATTATAAGTGATGCTTAGTTAATAATAATGTGATTTTCACTAGAAACTTTAGCATTTTTACCGGACTAAAAGGAGGATCAGTAAATAACGTGCAGCGAATTGGCTAGATTTAAATTAGCCAGCGAGCACATTTTTCCGAGTTTTGTTGAAAATGTTGAAAACAGAAGCTGATATTTCATAGCTGATATGAAACTTAGAGTCATTCGGCCTCCTAATATTTAAATACAATTCACTATTTTTGAAATCAATATATATTATAGGCTTACGATCAAATAGAAAGTGTCCATTCAAATAAAAGTCACACACATAATTAAACCAATTGCTATTTAAAATCGCATATTTAAACTTCCTAAGATGAAATTCTGCAATGAAATTTTTAAGAAATTGTTACATAACGATAAAATAATTATGAACTGTTCTATTAAGAAACACTTTTAACCACAAAATATTTTTTATAATTTATAATTACTATTTATAGTTGATTAAATAAAATATTAAAAATTTCTATTTTTCATTCTT